AGTCAGAGCGAAATGTGATCGGTTTGGCTTACCATTTGGCTACCTTTCTTTAACACCTTGGAGCCCACGCAGCCCATATGTGGGCTGCAGTCCCGTCGAGCGCGTAGGACCTTTCAGCCCATATTTTGGAAACAATTATTGAGTTTTCTTTTATTTTTCTTTCCATTTCATTCGATAAGGTTTCTTCTGCATCATACAGTAGGTTTTTCTTTCCAATTTGCTTGATAAGATTCCTAAAAATTTCACTGAAGTCCCACGCGGCCGCAAAACGTAAAACATGCGCGGTCTCCAACGTGTTAATTGATGCTGTTGTTGCGTTGTTGATGGCATCATACACAATGGGAGCCACGGTTGCAAAAGGCTGACATCACTAGCTAACCGTGGAACCTAATGTAGCAGTTAAGTGTCCAACAAGTGTGGAAGTGGGCGTGCCTAACAATCGGCTGCAATTCCCTCACCCGATTGTTAAAGCAACAATCCCAGGACGAATTTGCGGGTAAATACCGTTGATAATGTAGTTATAGGCGACAATTTGACCGATAGTGACGAAAAAACCAAAGAAAAACGCCGAACAGGGCTTTAAACAGGGACTCCCCTTCTGCCGCTTAGCGATGTGGGAAGACGCGCGTTGGACGAGTTGTCTGAACTTGCCCCACTAAATGCGCTCCAGTTGCATAACACTAACATAATTACATAACACTATACATAACATAACAACATCACAACAACAAAAAAAGAAACAATTCCAGTGTAACAGGCAGGATCACATTGATTACTTTAAAGGACAGAGTTCAAATACTCCCTGTGGTCCCAAAACGAGCGCGAATGCCTCCGTCAATCACGGCTGGCAAGTGGGCGGTCCCGAAGAAATCTCCAACCACACCCATCTTTGAGGAGTTTAACGCCCTTTTTAGGCTTTTCCCAGGTGGGTTTTCTTTATAACTACACTTTAGATGTTCTCCAATAGGGCCTGTGCATCCTTTAGTGCCATTAGTTTTGAAAGAAGCAGACCCTGCTGGGACTTGCTAAGCACGTGAAGCGCTAGAGAGGGAGTTTGAAGAGCCTCGAAGCGGGCGTGGTAATCACGCCCACTTTCGGGCCTGTTCACTCCCTTTCTAGCGGCTTTCCAAGGTGAGTTTTTTGTTCAGTCACACCTTCTTATGTTCTTGACTAAGGCTAGCGCATCGTTCCACACCATTAGTGTCGAAGGTAAAACCCTGCTGGGACTGATGCTTCAAATGAGTCTACTGTCCAAGCGAGCGTTCCGCGCGACAATAGTACTTGCCCGATTTCCTCTCCAGACAAAGGACAGGGTACGAAACATCTTCTAACGTAATAGGCCCCACAACCACAACAAGGACACCATCAGCCGGACATGGGATTTTTGAATTCACACAGTCTCACTGTAGGCCCGAGAGCTAGATGACCCCTTCACCGTGCGCTACATTCATTGCTGAGCCACCTGCAAAAGAAAGGAATACCGCGGCATTTCTTACTTTTGCGGCTGAGCTCTTTCCTTTCGCAACTGGACCGGATTAGGGAATTCGCGTGAACTTTCTGATGTTTCTTTATTAAATACAACAACAAGTACAAGAGAAAACATAATCAGCTATCAGTGTTCTGAATTCGGCAGCTAGGCACCCACAGTGCTGTCGCAGAATCTCGTCATCACATGATGTCCCACTCGAACGCTCAGATTCTAAACGTTATATTATCATTGTGGGGCGACTTCTATCGAATCGTGGACGTGTAGCCAAGTCACTCGGCGACGTCGCGCGTTGACTTTCCGTCACATGCTCCAAGGTGTGCGGCATTGTGTGCGTTCGCGCGGGACTGGTTCGCGACATGCAAATCACAATCCATGCACATGAATAGAAAAATTACTCACGGTGTAACCTTTCAGGTTCACTATGTGTTGTATACCGCCAGCAATTGTTCTGACATTGGCGACGTCATATTCGTTCACTGAGACGTAAATGATCCGGATGCCAGCTTTTCGCATCTATAATGATAGTACTGATAAATGACTTTGATAGCGCTTTTGGAAGCGGCGCTGTTTGCTCAGAAGCAGGTAAGCTGTAAGCTGATGCTGCAGAGACCTGCCCTGGAGAATGACCAAAATACAACATGACGGCAGTTCAGTACCTAAATTGAGCTCCACTTTATCCAACCGAAACAACTTTTACTCCTGTGGCAATGATCAAAGGTCGGATCTCGTGTCGTGACGTTCAGCGGAGATGATATCGAGTTTTTGAACAATATTGACGGTCATGAATCATTCCTGAGGCCCATGGTAACTTTGGCAGCCGTGAATGAGTAATGAGTAATTTTACTCGTTCGTGAATGGAGTGCAGAACACCGAGGCAGATAAGCTGATACAGACAAGTGGAATCTTCGGAGTAGATTATCCCTTTTTGATCAGGTACCGATCGATTTCCATTTAAAGGCAGCGATTACGATAAAGAGGGAGCGCATCGGGGAAGCATATGCACCACACGAATCAGTTACTTGGCTGCCAGGGAAGCGAGGTGTGGCGCTTTCACGACGAAAGGTGCGCTGGTTGCTGAGCAGGACTTCGAAAGCACTCCGCCCCAAAAGCGCCCACTAGTTTACTTGGTGATTTGGACGAGCTGCGTTGCCAGCAGCGGCACAACTGGAGCAACTCGACTGGAGCATGGATTTTGGCAT